AAGAAGAAATGTGCTGTTTACCTGTGCAAAGAAAGAAACAACGAAAGAAAAATGTCTGGGGACTTCAGTGTTGAGGAAGAGCATGAGTTCTTTGCCGAGCTGAATGCGCTGGTTTGGTCTGCCGGCTTCCGTAGTGTCGTGATCGCGCAGGTGCGCACTTTCAGGAAATCCTATACACTACTGTTTATGCTCTAAAAACATTCTAAATGACTTCGTTTCGAGTAAATTCTGGATGCTACCCACTCAGGACACTTGGAATACATTGGACGAGCAGTATGGAGGAATATTGAAACGTTTTTTGTGGACTTTTATGGACCTTTCTGCCTCGGGCGCTGGGCACCTCCATTATTTGAATGTCAGCAGACAGCAAGAAGCCTCCCAGATCTCCAGATGCATTTGAGATATCAAAAAAGTACTCCAGGGTGTTGTTCAGCATGGGGGTGAGTAGAAAATGAAGGCTAATCATGTTTTGGGTGTACTATTCCTTTAAATGATACTGATTTATTGAGATTTTCATGTAACATCTGTATTCCTTTTTCTAATCTATGTTTTCTGTATAGCATTAAGAATTCTAAAGAACACAAGAGGTAATTTCATAATCATTATAGTTTTTTCAAAAACTGCCCCGTTTAAGGTTTTTTTATTACATCTGTACAATATTTGTTGTTAATAAGACAACTCAGTTTTCATATACTGCAGTGCTTTGAATGTCAATGCGCTGTCACCTCGTGTTGTTCGTCCATCTGTTCAATGGCTTGAATGGAAAACTTGAGAAATGCCTACAAGGTATGTATTATGAGTGTCCTCTTCAACTAAAAATGTTCAGAGTTCATGACAACCTCTTAAAACGGATTTTTGTTCACAGCTCACAAATGTAAAAATAAGGAAAAAAAAACATCTGTTAAATTTCTGATAAGGATGAAACTTTCTCCATCTAAAAGGTTCCCTTTTCCAGTGTTATTTGACAGGATAATTTAGAAGCAGAGGGAAAGATAATTTGACTGCCTGTAGGAAACCAAAATAACATCTTTCCGTTTTAACAGCTAATTAACCATATGGCCAACAGACAACAGTTGTATATAAGCAATTTATTTTATAAAAGCTTATTCACAGAACCATTAAGTGCTGTGAATAAAAAATACTTAAAAGAAAACTGAATAAATGTTTAAACTAGATGGTAACTAAATGTATTGTGTATAGAAAAGAGGAATGTGTGCTATTGATTTAAATGAAGGACACAGTTTTTATTATTTACTTTTGCAGCTACGAGAGATACAAGAAGGAAGAGATGTGTCATCTCTGTATGAGTTATTCTGATAGACAATAAGTATTCAGTGTCAGCAGGGGTTCAGGGGTGAGGTTAAGTGATAAGGCTTGGGTCTAGGTCAGTGTAGGCCTGTTTCAACAAGAAATGAAGTGGTAGAATACAGGTAAAAAACAAGCAGAGTGACTCAGAAGCCCTAGCAGGAAACCATACACATACATAAAAAAAGCACATCTGAGAAAAGCTCCCCTTGGACCAGTGAGAAGTAAATTGTCTTTTGTCCCCTACTTCCCATCTCTCTTGTTTCGCCAAGCATCCAAAACTCCTTTGGGTTTAAAACTCATTTCCATGTCTCTTGTAAGCTCAACATTTTTTACATATTTGTTGAAAATCCCATTATGAGGCCTTTGTGATATGAATAATGCTTTCAAATTGGAAAGCATCTTCAGGCAAAAGTTGGACACAGAGGTAATCTTTACAATCTAATCTCTCTCAGCACACAAAAACAGCAGTGACACTTCCTGATGCATCTTACAGAAAAACACGATCCAGATTGATGAAATCCTCTGAAAGATAGGCATTAATATTCAAAAACAACCCTATACATATCAAAACACGTTCCGCTTTTTAACCAACCTGTTGGGTCCGAGTCACGCTCTAGAAATTGGCATGTGTGAAGTTCGTCACAGAGTGTCTGCTTTGGTGAGTCAGGGCGACTGGTATCCATGTCAAAACCTAAAGGCGAAAACCCATCCAGATCACAGAGCTGCTCAGATCCAAACTCAGCAGTCTGGTTTCGCATCACCTAAGGGGATATGGGAACAGATGGAGGGAGAGAGAAGAATGGAGGCCAGAAATAGATGGCAGACATAAAAAATGAACAGAGGAAAAACATTTGGTGTTGGAATGAGAAAGAGAAGATAAAGGAGAGCAAGAAAAAGAAGAAAGCAATTAAATTGATGTTGGAACTTATTAAAACAATGATGGCATAACAGTAATAAAACAAAACATGAAAATAAAGCAAAAAAACAACAAGAATAACCAGAAAAATAACCAGCACAGTAAAATTAATAGCCTGTCTTAAAACTCATTTTTTTTCCCCTGTCAGTAATTGAGGCTAAAATAAAATTTCATTGTAACTTTTATGAACCCAAGTAACTATGGTGAATTGGTATTTTTCAATGTTGAGCGTGTAAATACATATTAATAAGACAAAGTCTTTTAATGAAGATTATTCCCCTCTCTCCCTGTTTCCTTTGTTTCCACTTGATGAATTGATTTTTAATTAACCCCTGGAGCTGACAAGAACATCTCACAATTGTGTGTTTGCCGTTCCTCCCATGCAAGTGTCCTCCTGTGGGACAGGAGAATAGTGAGCAAGCTCTGTTTAGTTAAGATTAGATCTGATACATTAGCATGCTAGCCTTGCATGACACTGCAGATGGGCTGGGAGAATGTAGGGAGAAAGGCTAGTGGGAATAGCAATGCTTTGAGCAAGGTAGGAGCAGGAATGAGGAAAGAAATTAGGAAAGCAGGGTAAAAGATATTCAATGAACTAGCAGGAGACCAACAGTGATACTGCACAACGTGAAATGAATTATATTTTTTTAATGCAGACTAATATATTATGTTCTAATGATGACTGGACACCTTACATGGACTGCAAATGCAAAAAAAAAACCCCAAAAGGAACAAAAGATTATTAAAAGACACATGAGGGAAAGAGAAAGTACAAGAAATGAACAGGATAGGAGACCAGAAAAAGCCTTGTGCAAAGAGAGAGAGGGAGAGAATTAGAAAAGAAAATACTATCTAATCATACCAGGAGCAGCTTGATTTGGGTCCGGAGGGTCCAGATAACTACCATCTCTACAATCGTGAACATCATTATTCAAGCTTTTTTAATAAAGCACTGTCTGCACCTCTTTTTTCTTTTCATTCCACAGCCACAGTACAACGGACTTGTGCCATTAAATGGTAGATTACTCATTTGAGACCGTTCAGATAGTTCCGTTTTAATCCACTCTGTTTCTGCTTTCTTTTGTCAGTGGGTTTCACCTTTACACCGCAGATTAATGTTACCCTGAGCTATAGATAAATGATCTAGAGTAATTAGTTTGATACGGATATTGTTTTATAGTAACTTAAGAAATCCAAAATGTGGGTCACTGAAATCTTTTTTTTTTTTTTCGAGCGGTGATTAAATCTAATGTCATAAACTTCTAAAACATTTTCATCTTCCTTCTATGACAGCACCTAACACATATCTGAAGGGAACTTTAAAGTGTTGCAAATCATCTTATTTATTTACAGAATATTTACATAATGAAAACAACATCCAGACATCAAAAACTTCTGTCGATATTAATTGACTAACCTAGATCAAAAGATTTATATGATTTGATTGCACTCAAGCATGGAAACAAGAACAAGCATATTTAAAACATGTAGTAAGTTTAAAAAAAAAAATCATAGGATCAAATTCAGAGGGCTCTTTTTTTTTATATTAGCACAATATTGCTGTTCCAGCAACAAGCATAGTTTGCTGAAAACAAAAATTACAACGAGCCAAATCAAAGGACACCTTTAAAACACATATGTCATGAGCCATAAGTCATTAAAGTGACCTAGGATTTTAACTGTCAAAAGCATTTCCGACAAAGGACACTAATGTCACGGTAACATTGAAAAAGTAATGTGAAAGTTTTTAACTAATTGGATATTCCTAGATTTATTTATATGAGCTGTATTTTTTACTCGTCCATGTGTACCATCGCATCACCAAAACAAATTTCTTCAATAAATCATTTTCTGATTCTGATTCTTGAAGCGCACCAAAATAAATATCACCCACCCTTTAATCTGCATCACAAGTCTATACACCATCCACCATCCATGGTGTCACCTTAGATTTTGACTACAGTGTTGCTTCCATAATCCTTAATTGCGCTGTGGATATTACCCAGGTTTGCTGACTCTCCTCTGCTATATGCTGTTTCTACAGCGACCAGGACCACAGTGTTAAAAAAAAAGCTTATTTTGTGAATTATGCATTGAGACTAGCTCATCAATTAGCCTTTGATACTGCAGGATGATGAATATAGCAGATAATGAGAGTAGCAGAAAAGGTTAAAACCTGAGTAACAAAATCCTTTTGGCAGAGGATTTAGCGCAGAATATTTTTGTTATGTATGTTGTAATATGTGTTTGTCGAAAAATAAATGATTTGCTCCCTTGCTTTTCTAACAATGAGCTGAGACACTAAAACTCTTTTGTTTTAATGATTTTATTCTCTCAAGAATATCTGATTTAAGATACCACTAAAAAGGGTTTTTATAATTGGTTGAAAATGAAGGTGTGGCAACCTCTGAAGTTGACAATGTTTCTTCCAGACCTATGGTTATAATGATAAAAAAAGAAAGTGTAGCTGCCCTTTGTCAAGGATTTCAAGCTGAAATAATTGTGATTCTAAACCTATTTAAATATACCCTGATGTGTTAATTTACAGATTTTGCTATAATTTTTCTTCATCCATCATCCATTCATCCATCCATCCATCCATCCATCCATCCATCCATCCATCCATCCATCCATCCATCCATCCATCCATCCATCGTCTCTATTTAGCATGGAATTTAAAAAAAGTCATTAAAATTTTACCATCTGTGGTTCTTGCTGCTGTTCTTTGTCTATATTTTCCAAATCTTTTTCTTTTGTTTCCTTTGCAGGTCGAAATGAATCATCTGGGTGACACATTTCCTGATCGTTCATTTCTCTTAATTTCTGGCTTGGTAGATGTGTCGGAGCTTTCTCTCTGCAGGAATCTTCTTCACACATCAGGCTAAGACTTCCCCTCCTCATCTCATCCTTGCTGTCTTTAAAAGAACACCAAAAATAGAATAAAAGTTACTTATGATTTGAAGCAAAAAAGGCAAACAAACATTACACATTTCTTTTTCTACGGCTTGAAACATGCTAAAGTTTCAAGGTGACCAGCAAAATGGACTGTCCTTGTTTTTCATGTCTTGAACCAAAGAAGAAGAAAACATTTTTATATCAAGTATTCAAGAAAATGGTAATGTATGATGTAAGTGTCCTTGACACTTTAAAGCTCCAATAAGCTGATAAAGTTGGCATTCAGTGTCTCTCTGGTCAAAGAGCTGAAAGAAGTAGTGGAAATGAATGATGAAAAAGATGAAGGAGAGCATAGAGATGATGGATGAACAGAGAAATATCGGTGGACATGTAAAGTAAGGGGATGGAAGTGAGATAAAGTCGAGCTATTTTGAGAAAGTTGTGAAAGAATCAACCCTTTCAGTTGTCAAAACTGCAGCAGACATTTCTTTTTCCTATATAAGTGGTAAACAGTTAAATAAGTTTCTAATTTCTAAGAATGTACAGAATTGATTGAATTCTAACTCTGCTTTTTCTCCTGTTCTGGGATCTCCTTTTCTGGGATAATTTCTTTAAAATGATATGCTGAACAGAGGTCCAGTCTCACAATATGCATCATTATGACATTGGATAACTTCTTTAGTGCATGAAAATGTTTGCATTAGAGATTTGGTTTCTTCTTTATTGAGATCGGAACCTAAATCTGAAAGAACAACCATCAATTATACTTGTTGTAAACATGGTAAATGACTTTATTCCTGTAGATTTTAGAAATGTAACCAGAGTGGTCTTTAGATTAAGATTAGGAACTCACTGCCCTGTGTTGATATAACACCTACAATACTAGTAAAGGATTATGTAGTGTTGCAGTGGTGACAAAGAAATAAACTTGACTGTTTATTTGTGTTTGTATTACTTTAGGACCGTTATTTAGAGGGCAATTACCTTTCTGTTTGTTACAGGTTTATGTGGGATGTACAATGAAAAACAAATGTAAATCAGTTTTAATAAACAAAAAAGGAAATTAAAACAACTTTTTTATAGATAGATCTAAATTTGCTTTGACAGCCCCAGGGAGTAAAAGGAACTCTCACTGTGATATGTACAAGCTGTTCCCTGTTAACCGTGTTTAAGCAGTGCCATGAAAGTGTTATCCATTTGAGATTTATTTGCTGCAAAAAACTGTAATCTATCATCCTTAAATACAGAATATTTTTCTGCTCTCCTGTTTTGTCATTTAAAAACTGCAAGATAGAAGTATTCGATGTGAAACACCAGGAAAGTTAAGGGAAGTCTTTTTATAAACCATATCTTATCATTTATATTGCATCAGACTCTATCTATATAGTTATTTCTCACAAAGTCTATCTACAGTGATGATTTTTATCTTTATTGTCAGCAAAGCTGGAAGGCTGGGGGGGGGGGAGTTGTGGCCTGTGGTGAAAGATAGTTCCTCAATAGTGAAATATCGTAAAGAATATTCTTTTTAAAGAAAGGCCTGTGAAAGAATGTAAGCTTCAAGTTGCATGAAACTATTTTAATTCATTTTTTCCAATTATCCTTGCAGAATTTCAGAGTCTAAAAACAGTTTGTCCTCTGATGCAGGTAAGGTAAGGATACCAGCTGGTGGTCAGCATATATTAAGTTGCAAAAGCATTTATACTCTATGAACTAAAATATTTTTTCACAGTACCAACACACATTTTACCATATTTCTAATGGCAGTTTAAGTAATGGGCTCGACAGGGTCCAATGGTGAAGTAAAAAACAAAGAAATAATGGCTCTCTGATTTTTACAAGTAAAAATTACATGGAAGCTGTGTAAAAGGCTCTACACAATTGCAAACAGACATGATCAGATATACTACAGATAAATGTGCTAACATAGGCTAAAAAAAACAATTGTTGTGCGCCGTTTATATTCTGAAGCCTTCCCTACTTCTACAGAATCATCAGTGAAATTTCAGGAGTGTTATGATGAGCTACGGTGCTCTTTTTTTAGATGATGGAGTTGATCTGTGGTCACCAAAAACATGAAAACATTAAAAGTTCAGACTCTGCATTGTTTAGAGACGCTTTATGAAAGAAATGGAGGACTATTGTTCGGCACCTGTATTGATGTTGAAATAATTGTCTCCAAGGCCTTTGATGTTAGCAGTGGTCTTACAGTATCAGGTGATAAAGAGAGTGTGAGTTGATTGCCTAATAGAAGACTATCTGGGTCACTGCAGGAAAGCTGGAATTGCTAAGGGGAGATTAGATTGCCTCTTGGTGTTTCATAAGGGTTCAGAGATGAGATTGTTTCTGCAAATAACTGGGAGGATTGTTTTTTCTGTACCTTGTTGTTGTGGGGTTGAGTGGTAAAACTTTGGCAATAAGAGTTGCTGAGCAGAGTCTGATGGAGAGACACTGAACGTAGACCTCAGAGAAAAAGGAGTTGATGAAGAGGAGAAAAGATGCTCCTCTGGGATGACTGACGCCGGGCCATCCACAACTGATACGTCTGTTGAAGTTAAAACAGGAGGCAGGGGGGGCATGGGAGTACTGAATGGGGAATCTGGTGAGGATGAGGAGAACTGTGGTGATCCATAGTTGGAAAATGGCAACTTGGCTGATTTCTTTGATGTTCTGGCAGCCTCCTGAGCAGATGCTGTACACACAGAAGCTGTAAACAGAGAAATAAAACAATTATATGACAGTTTTTGCAAAAACAATGCTAGAGGCTGAATTGGAAACAACCTTCATTAAAAAATATATAACTATTTAATGATCTCAAAAAGGTATCAGATTAGGTTTTCTGCATATGATGAACAACAATGTCAAAAGACAAAAAATCTATCTCCAGTTATTAGTAGAGCACTGCATAATTTCATTGTTTAGTCAGTCTGGAGTTCTGATCATAATTGTAAAATGGCTTCTTGCCTGTTTTGGGTTGAGCCGATGTGATGGATGGTTGGGCTGGATGGAGAGAGGAGTCATCAGCTTCTGAAACCCTATGAACAAACAGGGCTTTTTAAGACTTTAACTCAGGTTCTTCCTGGAGATTTGTTAAACAGCTGAAACTCAGAAAAAATAAGCATTTCTTAGTTCACATCTGCAAATTGATGGCCAAATGGGATATTAAATATGCCTTTTTTTTCTTCAGCATAACTCGTTGGATGCTAAATCAGACTTGCAATGTAACAAAACCTATCCCAAATCCCTTAACAACCGACTCCAGCTTTTACAACAGCACATTTTATTCATCTGAATGTGAATTGCACTAAGGGAGAACAGACAGTAATTACCTTCATCTCTCTTGTCTTAAAGAAAAAACATGTATTTTCAATCAAGAGAACATCTGTTGTACATTGGTTTTGTTACCAGCTACTCGTGACTTGTCATGAGAGGCACTTCAAACTCTAAAAACATTTAGGTTCACACACATCTTTTGCTTTTATGTTAGTGAAATAGAGTGCTTGACTGTGCTGCTAAAAACACGTGTTCTCTATTTAATTAGGGAGCTTCTATCTCTGGCTATTATCTCACAGTTAAGAGTTTATTTTTTTAAACAAAGACATACATTCTGTTGTTATCCAACTTCTGTTCAGCAAAAGAGACCATCATATCTCTGCATATCTGTGCAGAAAAAGAGACACAATAAAGAAGATAATGTCATATTGTGACCCTCTGGGTAAATTTGTGAATATCCTTCTTAAGTTATCATGTCAAGTAACTGTTTTACAGTTACATTACATCATCCAAGTCTTCTATGACAAGAGACAACCCAGATGTGGAGACCTGTGGTCCAGCCATTTCCTTGCTGACTGGGACACTGAACAATGATGAGCAATACTGACGAAAATCCTCCTCTTCAGCTGTAAATATAAAAATTAAAAAAATTAATATAATTAACGAGGCTTGAAAATTTAGATATGGGGCATTTTTTACATTCGAGTTGAACAAATGCACATTGCTGTGAAATTAAAAATGGGTAGAGCTCAAGACCAGTTTTTCATGGTTTAATTCAATTCAGTGTGTATATATCACACTGATTTGCAGCAAATTTGTCTCACTTAAAAAAAGTTTAACTATATGAATAATAAAAAAATCAACTATTAAGACAAAACAAAGTAGAGGGACTGTGGCTGTATTGGTTTGTTCTTTCTGTTAATATAGGAAGAAGAGGAGGATGAGTGGAGGACGCTTTGGGTTGTGTTTTTACTTTTGCTTTTTCACTGCTGTATTTTTCATTTTTCATTAAGGAATGTTATCTTAAGGAGTCATTTGGAAATGAGATTTTTAAGTATAAAGTTTAAATGTTAACAGAAATATTGACAGTACCTAAATACAGTTTTGTGACTACAGTTAAAATGTCAAGAATGAAGAGGTGAAGAAAATGTTTAATGGGAAATGCTTTAATCAGCGTGCTTTGATTTAATGGCTATTCATTAACCTCAACATGGCAGGTTTACTCTCAACATTTTTACTCAGTTAGTCTTCAGAATGTTTTTCACTTTTTCCTTTTTTTCTTGCTAGAATGACTTTTTAGCTATTTCAACTTTGAAATGGGTAAGTAACAAAATTGCTTCCTCATCAACCTGTTTTCTCTAATGGAACCTATTATTTGATTGTAATTGGAAGATGGCTCCACTGATCAAGAACCTAGAATACAGCAGAGAGAGGAGCTGGGCTCCAAATTGTGAAATATAACAAAAAAATTATATGCAATTTGATACAAATATAAAAAAAAATCATACTTTCATCTTAGCTGATATTAATTTTGATGATCACTTTAAAGTTATACTACAAAGCTACTCTTCTCTGTTCTGAGTAGATAAATGCATGGTTCCTTACTCAATATGTTAATGTAAAATGGTAAGAGTTTGTAGATTAGTATATTTATATATTTTATTATATATTAGTTTGTATATTTTGCAACCAAAAACAATAAAAAGGGCAAGTGGGAAGGACTCTGCTTATAAACATCACTGTCAAATTATTGAAAAGTAGCTGTTTCTAAGATTTTGTTACTGAAAATATTATTCTCTCAACACTCCAGATATCCCCTGTATAAGATCTAAAAAAAATTCTGTTTTTATGTCTGTGCTCTGTTTTAGACTCTAATGTTTAGATATTGGCACAGGGCTCTGTGCTTTTACATGCTGATACATGACAAGGCAGGTTTTCTCACTAGGACAAGAGAAGAATTATCAATTTCCAGTGGAAATGGACCTATAGATAAATTCATTTGTCATTTTTGGTATATATATTTCCAAAGTGTATGCAACACTGTTAACCTGACTGCTTTTCAGGTAGAAAAACTGGGGGTTTTTTCTCAGTTTTTTTCTCTGGACAGTCATAAACAGTCACAAATAAATTAGTTTCATATTCTTCATCTCTAATGTGTATACCTAACATGCTCCAAAGCAGGTTACCACTGTTACATGGCAGAGGAAAAGGTAACAATAAAAACACAACAGGGGGGGTCGTCTTTTAACCTTTTACGATGGTATCCTAAACCTTTTTTCAAGTGAACCATCCACATTCAAGTCTTTATTATGCTCTAACTTTTTTTAACAACTTGTTTACAAAAAAAGCAACCCCCATCGTAACTTTGATTCCTCCACTCAGAATTTAATAATTGATGAGTCTTTCTTGTAACTGTATGCAGAGAAGACAAAAACAGAAGTGTCTTTGGGAAATGTAGAGCTGTTCAGAGCTTAATAACCTATTCCTACCACCTGCCTCAAACCTTTATTCTAATTCATGAGCTTTACAACAGGTTGCATTGCCCTCCCCCCACCCCCCTCATGTATTTTTAAATATGAAAGGGAGAGAAACGAGTGTGTCAATAAATAATAGAAGCTGTTTACTCTCTACATGTGGGGTGAAACCCGTTCTCTGAAACTCTTGCTCTGTTGCTGACAGACCCATGTGGAGACATGTCCAACTAATGTAACTGGTTCAACCTTTGACTTTATGTTGTGTTTACTCAATGTGACGCATGAAGGAAAACAGAGGCTAGATCTGGGTCAACTGTCTTTTAATGTTTGAAATATCAAAAAGAAAGAAACTGCTGTAAATTCTTGAAAAAAACGTGGCCACCTACCTCTGGCAAAAGTTCACAGGTATATGAGTGTGTGTAGGTCTATATGTATACATGTGTGTCTAGGATCATTTGGGGAATTTACCCCTAAGAGGCCACTACGTTATACATGTTACTGTTTGTGAACAGGAGTACTGATTTAGTCAACAAAACAGTTGAAAAAAAGACAAATGTGTGAAATACACAGACTGGATCAAAGCCAAGACAAAAAGCTATCAATATCTTTAAGAATCAAATCCGTTTAATGGATGTTGTTCTTGAGTGAGTGCATTTCTAGTAAATAGTTTTGATCTCAGACAATTCAAAGACTGATAAACATAGGTAGTTGGATTTTGGAGCAGCTCTTACGAGTAGTTCTCAAAAACTACTCCAAAGAGTTTGTCTTTATTTCATGAAGTAGAAAATGGATCTGGAGGTTCTGAAAGGTGGATTTATTGCAGGGCTACATCTCTTTTACCCCTTAGTTGTAGTTAGAAATCAGAACACTCCACTGACTGATGAGAGGCAGACAGTGAGCTGCAAAGTACAGACTGAACCCCATCTCTCCTTCCATGCCCTATCCGTTACTCTGTCAATGTTTGAGCCACCTTTAACAGCCCTCTACCTGCGCAATCACAGCCAGTGATTACCTGTCACATTGCTATGGATGGATGAGCAAGGACATCTAACCCGCTGAGAGAAAGACATTTTCCAATTGGTTGTTTGTATATCTGAATGTGATATGTGAGGAGGATGTGGGATTGTGCAAGATAGCTACTCTGTTGAAGAGAGGTTTGCTAGTTTGCTCTCATTGTCTCAAACACCAGGTTAGATGTGCAGCTAAAGCATCAAGATCTTTGTGTTGTTTTTTCCCCCCTTATTGTAAAAGAAATATCCATGAAAAGAGAATGATGGATGCTAGTGTATGCATGCGCTTGAGTATAACCAGTTAGGTTTGATGCCATCTCTTCCTCAGTGTCTATGGAAGGTAGTGGTTTTAAATCCATGCCAAAATCCTGTGATCGAGGACTTTCAAATGGAGTCCTGGAAACAAAAATCTGATCAGAAGATTACATCAAATAAAGGCAGATTACTGTATATGTAATGTAAGCTTTCTGTCCCTTTCCTTGTTTACAGGGACAAATGGACAGGACAGTATCTATGATAATAGATCTATGATAAACCTGAGTCTTGTTGATGAAAGTAATGCAAGCTGTACTTAGCTTCTCACCTGAAGAACCTCACAGCACCATTTATGTCAAACCATGATGCAACCTACCAGCTACAAAAAACTAAATTAACTTATCATTCCAGGTGTTTTATTAGCTGCCATGAACAACACAGATTTACAGCCCAAGTCCAACAACATGTCTGGGTCTACAGTAGCTTAGTTCAAATAGACTCAGGGATGGAAAAAAGGAGTTAGCCACTGGAAGCCACTTTGGTGACATTAGTGAGTTAATAATGAACAAAAACAAACAACAAAAGTTGACCTAACAAATTTATACAAAGCATCTAAAAATAAAATAATCTTTAACGTTTAAAGAAAGGACAGACCCGAGTGCAAAAAGGAAATTAAAAGAAAGAGGTAGCTGTATTTATGGTAACAAAATGAAGCCAGCAGTCATAGCAATAAGAATAATAACTATATAAGAAGAAATGCACCCCTTTTACAATAATTATATCTAATTTTTGTAATTTGCATATTTACTGCTAATGCTAGGTTATTGAACAGATAAGCCACCTTTTCTGAAAATAACAAAGTTCAAGAAGATGATGCAAACAAGTACACTGTTAATTTTTTTTATTTTTTTTTTATTACTCTTTACTTACTAAAACTCAACTTTGATGGTGTGGGAAGTGATACCTCTCATGTAAATAATACAATAGTTCTTTTTTTTTTTTATATATATATTTTTTTTAATAATAAAAAATAATCAATTATAATAAAAAATTATACAATAGTTCTATAAAAAGCTAGAAACTCCACTTCAGCAAGAAACAGTTTCTTTAAAAAAATCTAATTGGTCTGTATTAATAGCAGAATAACTCCATGTTTTTGCTATAAATGTTTAAGCAGTTTTCAAGCTTTGCTGATAAAAATATTACTTTATAACTAAGCAAATGTCATGCATGTGTACTGTGCTGTCAGGGGTAAAGCACTTGAATAAAACATTTCCTTTTCTAAAATAAGCTAAACCAAATCTTACAGTATGCTAAAATTGTTTTTAAAAAGCAGAGGAATATCACTATGTGGGTTTTCAATCTAGAGTTTATTGGTCACAACCTGCAAAAAAGTCTGGCTCTTGGAGGAGGAATATGTACTCACTTATCCCAGCAACACAGCTCAGTCAGCGCAGTCAAAAGCCTGCTTTCTATAACCTGCAGGCCGTGCACAAATCTACTAAGGTGATAGACTTTACGACTCTAATATAGCTGAGCACTTTTAGCCAATTCTTTAAAGCTCTCTCCTGCTCTCTACCCCCTCCTTTTCCCATTATTATTAAAGCTTGTTAAAATTCAACCTCTCCTTTTTTCTCCCCTCCAGCCGGTAAGACTCTCTGTCTCTCCATTAAGCTCTGCTACCATCCCTGCTTCAGGGTTATTGCACTCCAGATTGGCTCTCTAGTCTATCCCAGAGTTAAAGGCTGCTACAGTTTGGGATGTAGGGCATTCCTGCTCCAGCAGAGAAAACGCACAGAACTCCACTCAGCTCTCTTTCCTCCTGACCTGCTCACAAGCTGACTAGTAAGGCCCCAAAAAACTGCTTAAATAAAAGTTATAATAACAGGACCTGCAGAAGCACAACCTGCAGACAGTGAACTGCACAATCAGTACAAAGAAATTGCTTTGTTCACTAGTGCCTTATAAGTGCTCACTATGAAGATGCAGGTGAGGCACGTGCCATGTTAAAAAGAGAGATAAGAAAATAAATATGTGTACAAGTTGTTTTGCCGTCTTCATGGTCAATGTAAGTGACAGAGAATGTGTTGCTGGAAAAGAAGCACTTGTGTAAAATGTTATTACCCGAAATGACAAATTGTCGAAATCACATTTTGTCGTATTATGCATCGATATGTCAAACCAACCTAATTTAGATTAAGCCATTTTGACACTAAAATTTATGTAGGGTGCCGGCATAAAGGGCAGCAAAAAGCTAATTAACTGTGCTGTATAAACATGTTGCTCATAAGCAGATCTATTGAAAGGTATCCTAAATATATAAATCTGATACATAACTACATATACAGTAAAATAAAAAAAAAAAAGAAAATTTTACTTGTGGCAAAAATAGGTGGTCTTATTTAAATGGTTTGTGTGCTTTGCATATGTATTATTAGCTGTACCTGCGGTGCTTTTTGAGAAGCAGTCTTTCCATGTGGGTAAGGCTATTTTCTGAAAACTCCAGTTTGACAATGAGCTTTCCTTCTGCTCCTTCCCTTTTCTGTCCTTCAGCTTCTTTGTCTGAAGGGAGGTCAGTCTGGGTTGACGTTGCTGACACTAATGCTGGGAAAATATGGAGAGAGGGATATTGCAAAAAAAAAAAAAAAAAAGAAGTGATATAAATGTAGGAAAGCAAAAGCCCAAAGTAAAATAACAGTGAGTCAAAGACAGAGGATATGGCCGGAAAACATTATGAACAGCCTTTTGAAGACACCTTTCTTTAACAAGTGAGAAAACACCTCACCACCATGGCAAAAGTGCCAAAACAATGAAAGACAAAAGCTAACCTCACAAAAAGAAGACAGGACTTCAAACAATATAAAAAAAAAGGAAAGAAGTGAAGAACATTTTATGATTGTTCTGCAGACATGTTGGATGTTCACGGTAGCAGCTTTAAATTGGGCCTTGTGTCCATTGGCCTTGCAGAAATAATTAGCACTGGAGGGGCTAGCAGCAATTTGCAGAGCAGAGCGAATAGACAGGAGCTGAATTTGTCCAAGCAGTAAAGCAGAAGAAAATAGAAGGTCTAATGATAAGCAAAAACACCCAGTCAGATGTTCACCCAAAAACAATCTAAAATAAAAAAGTATGCACTTAAATCTGGATGAAAAGTGAAAAAAATGCACTAATATAGATTTACACTAAGCAGTGGTAATCATTGCTATAAGGTGCAGTCCTTAATGATTTCATTTTAGTTTCATTATAATGCAATAGCCATTCTCTTTTATACAACCATGCTCAGCCCTAAACCGTCTGATCTCTATGAGGATTCATTAATTTAATAACTGATCAAATCAACAGGAAGAGAGAATGAAATACTAAGTAGAAAGGGAGGAAAAACAGAAGCTAGGTAGAAATGTAAGCAAAAGAAAGAGATAGATGGATGACCAAAATATTTTTATAGACAGAGTATATTTTTTTCATTGCAGTTGTGAAAACATCAACATGTAAACATATATTTGCACAATTAATCTACATTTAAATTCCAATTTACTTATAGACTTGGGTGTTTACTTGAGATAATTCACATCACTGGAGGACCAAAGCTTTAAAAATTAAAATTCAATGTATAAAAATAGGAAGCAGCCGTTCTCACTTCTGTGCTTCAAATGACAAGAATCCGTCTACAGCCCATATTCCTCAATTGAAAAACATAGTTTTCCGAGGAGGTAATAACTGCTTCAGCTCAAAGAGAATTAATTTAATTCACAAACTCTACAAATAAAGTAAAGAAGTATTCTTTCCCATAAAAGGTACCTGCTCAACATACCTACTCATTCATAATTAATCAGGAAATATCAGGAAACATCACAGCCTCTGGGACCGAGCTCATTAAGGATGGACTGAGGCAAAGTGGAAAACTGCCCTGTGGCCAGCTGAATCAAAATATGAACTGCATTTTTTTCCCTAAATAATGGATGTTGCATCCTTGGGGCTTAAGAGGAGAGATAATATTCATCTTGTTAACATGACACAGTTCAAATACTTTAGATATACTTTTATATACATGTAATGAGTAACTTGCAGAACGTTATTATACTGTATGCAGCCCCCTCCTGGAATTATGGTATTTACTAATGTAGCTGTATTAAAGAATGTAACATATGTAACTATACACTCACCGGCCACTTTATTAGGTACACCTGTCCAACTGCTCGTTAACACTTAATTTCTAAGCAGCCAATCACATGGCGGCAACTCAGTGCATTTAGGCATGTAGACATGGTCAAGACAATCTCCTGCAGTTCAAACCGAGCATCAGTATGGGGAAGAAAGGTGATTTGAGTGACTTTGAACGTGGCATGATTGTTGGTGCCAGAAGGGCTGGTCTGAGTATTTCAGAAACTGCTGATCTACTGGGATTTTCACGCACAACCATCTCTAGTGTTTACAGAGAATGGTCCGAAAAAGAAAAAACATCCAGTGAGTGGCAGTTCTGTGGGCGGAAATGCCTTGTTGATGCCAGAGGTCAGAGGAGAATGGCCAGACTGGTTCGAGCTGATAGAAGGGCAACAGTGACTCAAATAACCACCCGTTACAACCAAGGTGGGCAGAAGAGCATCTCTGAACGCACAGTACTTCAAACTTTGAGGCAGATGGGCTACAGCAGCAGAAGACCACACCGGGTGCCACTCCTTTCAGCTAAGAACAGGAAACTGAGGCTACAATTTGCATAAGCTCATCGAAATTGGACAATAGAAGATTGGAAAAACGTTGCCTGGTCTGATGAGTCTCGATTTCTGCTGCGACATTCGGATGGTAGGGTCAGAATTTGGCGTCTACAACATGAAAGCATGGATCCATCCTGCCTTGTATCAACGGTTCAGGCTGGTGGTGGTGGTGTCATGGTGTGGGGAATATTTTCTTGGCACTCTTTGGGCCCCTTGGTACCAATTGAGCATCGTTGCAACGCCACAGCCTACCTGAGTATTGTTGCTGACCATGTCCATCCCTTTATGACCACAATGTACCCAATTTCTGATGGCTACTTTCAGCAGGATAATGCGCCATGTCATAAAGCTGGAATCATCTCAGACTGGTTTCTTGAACATGACAATGAGTTCACTGTACTCAAATGGCCTCCACAGTCACCAGATCTCAATCCAATAGAGCATCTTTGGGATGTGGTGGAACGGGAGATTCGCATCATGGATGTGCAGCCGACAAATCTGCGGCAACTGTGTGATGCCATCATGTCAATATGGACCAAACTCCCTGAGGAATGCTTCCAGCACCTTGTTGAATCTATGCCACGAAGAATTGAGGCAGTTCTGAAGGCAAAAGGGGGTCCAACCCGTTACTAGCATGGGGTACCTAATAAAGTGGCCGGTAAGTGTATATTAAGGAGCAAAATCTCAAAATGATATATTCAGGAAAAAAACAATGAAAATTTAAGCTCATTTATTCAGATTGTGTGTGATGGGGTCAAATTTTTTAGAAATGGTTCATTTATTTATTTTTTATGTTTATCTTTTGTAACAAAATCCCAAGTGGCATTATTAACAAGAGTCCAAACAAAGTAAGATAAATGCAAATAAAGAACTTTTTGAGTTGGCACAAATCAGTAATTTCTTATTTCCCTGTGGTTTAAATATGAAACAAAGCAAAGACTGATTCTTTTGTTGAGTCTTCATAACTTGAAAGATATGAGAATGTTATACAATGTGTTCACTTTCAGAAGTCAATGGCTCTCAAAAGAATACAAGAGTACTGTGTTCGAACAGATCTCAATTTATTCTTCACATTTATAGTACAATTGTAATGAATTGTAGCTGCTTAATGGGATTTTGCTGACAACTGCGCTCCTACATCCACTGTAAAGACTTAACTTATAGAAGTTACTGAATATTCAAACAAACAAAATAAAACAAACATAAAATAACACAGCAAAGATAAAATAAGAAACGTTTAACTTTGGTTTTGTAACATATTCCTCAACGCCACCATCGTTGTTTTGTGTAGCAGGGTTACTCTCACCTGACATCCTCGGGTCACGACAGAGGTGTTATTCAGCTACTTGTTAGTCAATGAATAATCACAAAAGTTATGAAAATGTTTTCTGAAGGTTGAAAAGCTACTTTGTGTTGGTTTAAATTGAAGACTATTTTAATCAAAAACCCAATTACAGAACAATTTATTTCCAAAATAAACTTTGGTTGTGTAATTATTATGCTATTTGTTTACTATTCTTCAGATGTGACTGATATTTTTGTCATGGTGGATGAAACAGCTTTAAATAACATTCAACTTCATCCCTTAATATTTAGGTTTCAGTGCGAAATTGAGCATAAAGAAAGATGGTCCAATTAAGTCTAGGCAAACTGATTGATCTGTTAGTTAAGAAGTAGATGGAGTTGTTAATCAGTGTCGAACAGGGTCAGTGTCACTAATGGTGACATGAAACAATACCTGGACCCTACAGAGATTGCACAGGCAGTACAACTCCACCAGGATGACAAATCAGTATGTGCCAGAGACAGAGTTTGCAGTGTCTTTCAGCACAGTCTCAAAAGCCTGGTTTAGACAGTAAAAAGAAAAGCTAAACATGCATCTATAATCAGAACCTGCAAAATGATCAACACGATTGGCTTAGTGGTGAGTTAGTGTTCCATGGAGTGACACACATATGTGTACAGGATAAACAGTGGCCCCCTAACTTCGATAATGTATCATAATGAAATCTTTAAACCCACTGATGGACATAAAATTACTTAATTTAATATTCAATTATATCCTTTTTCAATTGTACTCATAGACTGAAGGAATTCTATGAATTTTTAAATACATGGATTTTTTCAAATGTCATTCAATAATGAATTGATCTATTTATTTCAATGGTATTTTTAACCCTTTCATGCGACATGCATGTATTTTAATATATTTTGGCCCTCCATACATCTCAGGAATCACATCACAATGATTGTGAAAACTATCTGGCCGCCCTCACTTAGTGTCTAAGCACCCCCACTCTGTAAACCCAGTTTTTAGCACTGATTGTTTCATTCATGACTTCAAAATCACTTTCGTCAGAACTGGATGTTTTCTTTTTTATTTTCCTCTGTTTTGGTACTGTCATTTTCTTTCTACTTACTTATGGCACATCACTTTTTTAAACTAAAATAGTAATTGTGTTTAATAAGCCTTTTTGAATCACCAGCACATTCACATCTTTTATAGGTCTAATAAAAACATGGAAGTCTCTTTATCTACATTTTTTGATGGAAATTATGATGCTATAAAATCCAAAGCTTTTGTCCAATAAGGCTTTTCCTATTTTGGGGCAGCATGGCTCTGTAGTGTAATAAATCCTGGATGCTAAACTTCTCAGTTTGCAGTTGTTACATCAAATAAAAATATAATATATTGTATTATGCCTACAACCACTTCTATAGCTCACCTGGTTTAAAGGGTGTCCACAGGACATCAGTTGTAACAAGCTTTCTTGTTCCATCTCTCCTTTCTTTCCTCCACTGCATGACAGCCGCCTGAAAAGATCTTGCAGACTCCTCCTCATTATACTGTCCTGTAAAACTGGAATTGGCCAGTTCACTGTTATCATCTTTAATTAACCCCGCTGCTTTTTCCTTTCCATGTGTCACAACCAGGACCTACAACAAAAAGAATATTTCATGAGCTTTTATGTGATGGCCAAAATGTGATGCAAGCTCCCTACATATTCTCATTACTAAAAGTGAACATTCCTCCTGATCAAACACTAAAAGCACAAAGCTACCCACCATATTCCAAACACAAGGACAAACAACATAGCTTTGACAGTTTAAATTGTCTACATTTGTTATGCCGCTGTTCATTCATAATGTTAAAGGGATGAGGATCTTTCATTTTGGAGCCATAAATACTTGTTAAAAAAGGCTTTTATCAGAATCAAGTTAATAAAAGTAGAACCAATGATTAATTTACCGCACCGCATGCTGTTCATACAGAATTAGAGGAATGAAAATGAAAAAGTGGCAGTAATTTCCTGCTTCTGGAAATCACCATAAAAAAAGGAACTCAGTTTGGTTTAAAACTCTTAATTTTACATAACTCATAGACCCAAGTTCTACAGTGATGGATCGGTCAGTGGTTTCACTGCCCAGGCCACAGGTATATAAAAAGAAAATTATCAAACGATTTTTAAAAACTAATTTAGAACACTCCCTGTTATATCATTTGACCTGCACTGTATTAAAATATAAACAACTCCCTCAGTTGATGGAGACCATATAAGATGAAAAAGAATATATTAAAAATGCAGTACATTGCCAAAGTATTCATACCCTTTGAGCTTTTTCCATTTTGCAATGTTATTTTCACGTATTTTAGTCAGACTTCATGTGATAGAGTAATATAAAGTAGCACAATGTAGCTAAATGGGAAAGAAACATAATTTTTGTATTATTGCTTTAACTCAGATGGAAAAAAGAAAATCTAAAAAAGTACCTTATTATCTAATCATTTTTTTTATTTATGATATTCTTAAATAAATCAACTGCAATCAATTGACATCCAAAGTTAGCTGATTGGTGAAGAGTACACCTGAATGTAATATTCAAGGGAGAGAGTACAGACCGAATCTAGTAATCCAGGCAAATATATTGAGAATGGAACTGGATTGTAAAGAAGAAAAAAAAATTTTTTCTTTCAGCAACTTATAAATAAAATTATAAAAATCAAGTTTATACTGATTAAATAGAAATGATTTAGTCATTAAGATTAGTGTTTGTAATGTGACTAAATAGGGACACGATTATTATTACGAGTATATAAATACTTTGTAAAGAACTATAGAACAGAATGATGTACTATATTTTACCCACAAGCTTAGTATCTTGATTGAAGCATATTTAATTCCGCATTAAACAAGCATAATGATTTGGTTTTGTTTGTTAGATCTACAGAAGATGGAGATGAAGCAGCATATCTCTGAAACTTGTGACCTCAGTTGTTTGAAAAGACTACTGTCAGAATGAGGTCAAATTGGCTATGTGGTGCAAAGAGTATAATAATGTCAATCTAACTGTTCCTAACAGACCTGCACTGCTGAGGACCCCTTTCAGTCCAGAGGTACATGCAGTTCACAAGTTTGCCTTTAGAAACAGCCTGTGGATATAGCGTCAATTAGGGGGTATTTGAAGTTCTTTCAATTGACTCGTGGAGTGCAGAGAGTAGATCTCACACTATGTAGAGGCTTGTTTGATATCTTTATAGTCCATCGTCACATCATGCGAACTGCAAATGGAATTTAATTTTACCCACAGCCAACTCCTTTTATTTTTTTTAATGCTGTATCTATTCATGAATGGAAGCTTCATTTATTCAAAACCCCAACTATAAACTAATAAGTGAAATGTGGAATGCTGCAATGGTGGGTATTTTTGAATAGCACAACTTGAAATGAAGGATTTTACATATGATTACTCAGGTTTTTATGTCACAAATGATATTTGGCATGTGAACATATTCAGAATTTGTGCTGTAGGAAAAGATATCTGCAAGCATTTAGGTTAGTCTTTCCATTTAAAATGGTTCTAAAGAGAAAATTGAGAAATTATGTGCATTTTCTATGTGTTTATGCTACAAAAGACAAATGCCAGAGTATTATTTCGTTGAATGTTTTTCTTTTCTCTATGCCTTAAAGTTATTGTAACTTCTTAAAGTTTTGATCTCAGCCCCTGATCACCACAACAGGACGGACATACCTGGCTGTATTCATGAGAGTTTTTCATCTGTTTTTCCTTCATTTTATTTCCTTTCTCTGGAATCTCATCTTCTCGTCTGCTTATTGTAGAGGATGCGATGCTGTGATTGGAATCAAGGCTTGTACTGGAATCAGGATTAGAGGTACCGGGAAAAGCGCCAGGGTTAATCTGTCTCTGGAAGCAGCTGATGTCTTGGCTGATCACATGAGCCTTTGCGTCTGTCTGCAACAGAAGACCACAGTAAATGACACCAGATCAGTACTGCTTAGTTTAAGAGGCTGAAATCACAACCTATATGTAATCTATATTGAAAGATCATCAGGAAAAGCTCAGGTACCTATTGAGAGTTTATATTACCAAAATGAAGCCCAATTGTGGCCATCAAGCAGTGATGAATGAGAGAGAAAACTACTACAGAAGAGAAGAATACATAAGAGAGTACTGCACTCCTGCAAAACTGCACAGTTAAAACAAAACAAAAGAAAAATGTATTTGAAACTAACACATTACAGCAAACTAATGAAACATTTTCAACATGGGGGGATAAGATCATTTCAGTTAAAGCCCAAAATTTGGTTATTTAAAGTTTATCCATACTGATGCCATTCTCTTGTGAAATTAACAAGGAATCTAACTGAAATGTTGTTCTTTATAAGCGGTAAAATTAGAGGAAAGATGCATAATGATAGTGGTAGTGAGATAACAGCTCTTTCCTAAATTGAAATTAACTTTAGCTTTGTTTTTTTTTTGGCTTTGATATTTTATTACTTGTATTTTTATCATTCTTGTGATGGTTTTCAAGTCAGGTTGGGATTTGGGATGGTTTTTATAGAGGTAGTCAGGTTTTACATTGTGTTTGGGCTGTAAACAGTCAGCTCTCACAAGCTCTTTAGTGCACCGCAGCACACCTAATGCCAACCACCCCACTTAACAACCTTCCTGAACTAGTTAGCCCCCACTGTTGCCACATATTCACCAAGGAAAGATGCTAGTTTTGTAATAAAAGTCCCTAGAATTCCCCAAATAACATCATCGTTTATAAGGCTTTGATTCAGCCCATAGGAATATCAACATCAGCGAGACAGACTGTGATTAAAACACTCTTAAAACTTAAAAATGAACTGTATGACATCATTTTAAGTATTTATTAATGTTCTACCTGAACCAGAAACTACATACAATCACCCTTGTCATGTTATCTATTCTAACTTAAAGACAGTTACTAGAGACACACACGGTGGATGAGGCTCTGTATGCATTAAACGCAGGGAGGGATGTTTTGGGGATGTTAATTAGTTTTGAGGTACCACAAAACAAAACTGAGAAGCCATACACACGTTACTCATTTACTCATTTTGCCTGCAGTTAGCTACAGAGTCTGACTGTCAGTAAGTGCTTTGGAGAAGGGAGGTGTTTTAGCAGCCCTCACTGCTCCCTGAAGACAATAAAGTCAGAGTGATTAGCGCTTTCACACTGTCATCAAAGTCCTTAAAAGCACACAAAAAACAGCTAGATTTTCTGCTAGTTGCTTTCATGAAAAAGAGTTGCTAGAAAGGTCACAAAAAAGTAAACGAAAAGTCACTACATATAGAGACTAAGTACAGTAAGTTAGCAATAGTGTAGCCGCCGTGCTGATGCCACGGCAACGCGATAAACAGCAAGATTGTCAGACAGTCGTTATAAAGACCAGTAGCCCACTGTTTTGGCGCTTCTGTTTTTCTGGCAATAATCCATCTAAACTAGATACCCCAAAAAACTGATGGGCTTGTTCTGAGTTGGCTTAATCAGATAAAGCTAAATCTGTAGAATTACTAACGCCTGCAAGTGATATTAGGTTCATCATTTTACCATTTGTAGGTTAACGCCCCGTCCACACGAAGTCAAAACGAACACGAAACGCTGATATTTTCCAAAACGTTTGCCGTAAAGACGGAGACGTAAAATAAATGTGAGCGTCCACACGAATGCATGAAAACGCTGCAAAATGTATGCCAGGCCTGTAAGTGGCGCTGTGGTGCCAAAGCAAAAATAAGCGACGAAATGTTGGGCATGCCCACTAATATTTATACATGGTTGCCCTGCGGGTCCATTTTCGTGGTTAAGTCAAATTCAGGTGCTGAACTATGTAACTATGTAAAGATCATTAATTCTATTCTTCCTGGAGATATTCCAGAAGAAGAAGATTCTGTTGTAAGCCCGACAGCAGGGTGAGTAGCATTAGCAGCAACGGCGCCATTGTTGTTGTGATACTGGTCGCGCATGCGTGTTTAGAGGCGACGCTATGACGCATGCTTGTAAAAAAAAATATGCGGTTAGAGCGTAAAGATGGAAACGCGAAAACGGCGTTTCGAAATCTTCCCACTCTGAAGGCTGAATAAAAAAAAGATCGTTTACAGACCCCCGAAACGCCGGCTTCGTGTGGATGAGAGGCTGGTTTGGTGAAAAATTTGTGCGTTTAGGCCAGGGTTCGTCTTCGTGTGGACGGGGCCTAAGTGTAAAACGAGCTGCTTCGGTAAATGACTGCGACTAATTTGCATGTAGTCGCTCCCTGCATTAATGCTGTGCTGATTCTTTTTCGAAGTGATAATGTGATCACGGTAAACTACTGGGACATATGTATGAAAGGGACTTGTCAAATCCACTTAAATCCAATTTATTTCACATTCTAACACCTGGTTTGTACTTTAATAAGTATCTTTGCAGTATATCAGGATTCCTAAAGAAACTAAATGACTGCTTTATGGTTCACTAATTACCCATGCATGTTAACTAGCAACTGAAACAAACGAAACAAAGTAGCTGGTGAGTTTATATATTCTTTTACCATAGGAAACTACAAGATATAAAGATACATATTTAAATCTAATAGAGGACAGAAGGTGGTTCCTTAGAAATGATTAATTAAAAAATGTACCTAGGTCTACATTAATGTCCTTACCTAAAGTAGGCTAGAATGGTATTCTTCCCTGCAATACTGCTACAGGCCGAGGTACTGTGGTACCATGACGTATTCATACTGCAGCATGAAGTTGTGCCAAAAGCCGGCAAATGTGGTCAACAAGAATTATCATTCTTATTGTTAAATATTAGACAAGAGATTTAGCACTCGCAACTCTTACTCAAATTAAAGCAGTAAATAGCAAGAGAGGCCTATTTAAAGTACATTGATAGCATAAAGCAAAGGGGATGATGCCAGACAGCTCTCTTGACCCGATTTAGAGGGCAACTCCTAATCATTTTAAGTGCTCAGACTTACATTCCTGATCTAACCTTGAAAGTAAAAACAGAAAGGTCTGTTTTAAGGAGTTAAAGAATGCTTCCCAATTTTATCTAAACAAATCCACAGACTGCAGACAGAAATGTGTGCATCATGAAAAAAAAATAATAAAAAAAGGATCAAACACAACGTATAACACATAAAAATGGGTCTTAAATTATATGTAATCAGCTATGTCCAGCATGATCAAAGGAGAAAATTCAAGGACACTGCACTGAATATATATTAGTCTGTACAGTAGGACTTGTACTGTAGTGAAAGAGATAAACACTGAATTGTTGATCTTTTTAACAACATCAAAAGGATTTTGATTTTCACCCTGAGATGTTTCTTCTTTTTTCATTTATACATTCTAAACATAATTGAGACTGTTCACTGGACATAATTTGTTTAGTTTTAAGTTATGGGTTGTTAAGATGTTTCATAGCAAATATACAAGAAAGTACAAATATTAATCTGGCAGTACCAAGTGGTAACTGTATTATATAGCAAGATGGAAGTTATGCTAAAGGTAGTTTGCTTTCCCATGGCTTTTTTCTCTTTTTAATTAAACACTGCAGGCAGTGTCTTTGGACTGACCACTAAACAGTTTGAATGAATAGTCTGTCCAAGCGACTCAGTACAGCTTTGAGGACATGTGAGTCTATGGTGAACGACAAAGTACAACACTGTGACGCAGAATTAGTCACACTGGTAAAGTTAATTATCATGACATTACCATCAGGAACATGTCAGTGCTTTATTAATGGCCGAATAAATGGTTTCTTTCACTGCATGAAGTAAGATATAGAATTCAAGGCAACACAATCGCAATATGTGAGTTCCTAAGCAATAAGAAAAGAGAATCAGCTCAATCTTTTAAGAGACTTTCAAGAAAAATGATTCAAGGAACTTTTTATTCAGACCATAGGATTATAACTCAACTGATATTAGCTTGATCATTTCCAGAAAAACATCACCTCTTACTGCTATGTTGTAATAGGACTATAAGTACAATTAGAAATTACTTTCCAAGCAGATTAATCTGTTGACTATTTTTTTTCAAATTAATCAATCAATAATGAGTGCAAAATAAAAAGGCTTAAAAGGAGATTTTTCTATATATGTTTTTTTTGTTTGTTTTCTGTTATGTGTGGGTTCATGTTTTAGACTCTGTATACTCAAGGTAATGATTAGCCAATTACCATATTAGTTGACAATTATTTAAATAATTGATTAATCAGTAATGATCAAGATTTATCATTTTAGCCCTACTTTGTTCTCTACTAACTTTACATTGACCTTGATTTCTGTGTCCACACACCGACTCACTGTTCTTTCCATCAGCAGCTTTGACAACAGGACAGTAAAGATCATTAATTCTATTAAGCGGCACAACTTCAACAGCTCCTCTAAAGCTTAGCTGATCTCTGATAGGATCAACCCTCTGATAAAAAAGCATCTACGGATTCTTGAGCCTGACAGTTATCCAGGCAACATGGAACAATTCTGAAGCCCTGTAAGTGCTTTATAATGACTGACACTGACACACTAGAAATTGGATGTGTTGCACCTTCACAGAAAATACATGATGCTTAAAAAGTTTCTATCAAGTCCAATCAAAGAAACTAAGCAAAAAAAAGCACCAGGTGACCTTTGCATTAAGCTAGTAGTTTAACCTACAAAACCCATTTTTAAGTGTGGGATACCTGCTAACCAAATGATGTCACACGTAAAGCAAAGTTATTGGGGGGTATAATTCTCTCGTAGAGGAAAGACATACTATAAAGATGTTTGATCCAGCAAACCCCAATGATCCTCTGCTTATTTAATGTAATTACACACTCCAAATCTGATTTATTGAAGCTTATACTAAAGTAAGTGCAAGTGAGAAAAGTCAGAAAAAAATGTGTTTTGAGTCTAAATTATTTCTTTCTAAGATAGCGATGTGCAGCCTGTTGGATGT